CCTTGCCACTACAAGCTCCACACTGCCCTGGCGAAGCACCCCCTGCCTGCGCGGCAGCAGTGAAAGGCACAACCCTGCACCACTGCCCTTGCTGCTGCTGCTGCATGGGCAGAGGATGCCTCGCCAGGACAGCACAGAGTTCGCAGTGGCAAGGAGCTCTCCACATGGCCCTGCTCTGCCCTGCCATACTGGGTTGCACCCATTGGGCTGCAGAGGCCCTGGGGGAGGGCAGTAGGGTGGGGAGCCTGAGCCTGCAGAAGGCAGCCTGTGCCTGCTCCTGCCCCACGCACAGATCTGGGGGGCATGGGTACCCCTCCCCCTGTCCGGGGGTGCACACAGCAGTGAGGAGCTGGCCCCTCCCCTGCCTGAGCCCACAGCAGGCAGGCAGCATGCAGCGGGAGCAGCCAGGCTACCTCCAGTGGGCAGCAGTCAGGGCTTGGGCGCTGCTGTGGGGAGCAGGGGCTGTGGACCCAGGTCCCTGGCCTTGTAGCCCTGGTAGCTGGGGGCCCCCTACAGCAGGGCTGGGCCATGGCTTGGGAGTGAGGGGCCAGGACCTGCATTCTGTGAGTGAAGGGGGCAGGGAGAGCTCTGATTTTCTATGATAAAAAACCCAAAAATCAAATATCAAAATTTACAGGTATTTAGAATTTATTTTATTATAGTGATTGAGGCACTGGTAGGCTTCCAAATTGCTTTAACATTGTAAATATAACAAGAAAACATTGTGTTCAACTGATACCTATACATAGTCATCTTTCATTTTAATCACGGATTTTAGGGTTCTAATCAGAGAATTTGCAATTTATTTATTATTTTTAACAGTGAATTTGATTTTTTTTTAATATGGGAAAGCCAGTATCCCTGATTATGACACAAGGATGAGTTTATTGGACTGTGTACAGCAATAAAAACTCATTGATTTGTTCATATTTGATAATGCCTTGCTGATGCATGTAGAAATGAATGAATAAATAACCAAACTCCTTCTCCAAGGACCATCCCTTGCGTTCTATGCTTTTATTTGTACGTATTGTTTAAATACTTGCAAACTGTTGCAGGGTAGCTGGAGTGATTCTTAAGTGTTTTTTTCCTAATTCCTAGTGCCAGGAACTAATTTTAGACAATTTCTCATCTAATTCATTTTCTCTCTTATTGAAAATCCCTTAGAATTTTTGTTGTTCTGTCACTGAAACTCCCCACACAAGCTTACAAAAGAAACTCTTGTATAATCACAAGATACAAGTAGACTTTTTTTTGCAATCTGTCCTCAGTAATCGGTCATATCTGAACTGAAAGATGTTATCACAAAACAATAAAAGGATTTATGGTCTCAGTAAAACATAATTAGTAGTTTTATGTAGTTTACGTGTTGTTAGTACTAAATAAGAAGTCTCACACAATTCAGTTTTCCAGATCTTTTTTTTCTTCCTACTCTGGTTGCAAACTTAAAACAAGCAAATCCTGTTCAGAGTCAGTGCAGTGCTCTCAATAAAGGGACATTTTACACTCATTTCTGTTCCACCGCTAACAAAGTAGTAGGGAAGGAGACCTTTTCTAAGCAAGCCTAAGGGTTTAATTTAACAAACTAAATCTCTACAGTCTGCTTTAGCTTCACTAATGAGATGCTTTTTTCCTTTGGTATATGTGGTCTTCTGTTTCCTAAATAAAATTAGTACACATTTATTGCCTGATGGTTTTATTTATCTTTGAAAATGTTGACTACTGGACAAGCTTTTCTGGTTCTAGCATTTCCAGAATTGACATGTGTACTTTGCAGATCTATTTCCAGGAAAAATCTAGTAAGAAGGGCAAAATTTTGAACTTTTTTTTATAGCTGCAAAATCATCTCCTCTTGGAAATAGGAAGTTTTTTTCTTTTAAATTGTTCCTTTGAAATATGCCATCAATGAAAAGAGCCAGAGAGATTCTATAGATGCTTCAAGTCTGTAGCTGAAATTTTGCACATGAATGCCTTTTAAAAAATGTGGTTCCAGGATGCATATGTTCAGGCTGCTGCATTGACAGTTAGGTATTTGTTTGCTGCAGTTCTTCTAGACTTTTTAAAACATGCCTTCATTAACTGCTTTATACTCATTATATTAAGGAACGAAAGACCATCCATTTAAAAAAATGTTTTTGGGTTGTTCATCAGCCAATGGAAAAAAAATTAACATCCTGCTTCTTTTTTTCTTTCATGTTTCCAACTTTTAGATTTTACTCCAGTCCCTTTCTGCAAGCCATGAATTAAGACTCGAGGAAGAAAAATCAGAATCTTAAAAAAACACCCCAAAAAACAAGATTCTTCTTATGGTGAATTACCACAAAAATATCAACAAAAGCTGATGTAATAATAGTTTATGGTGCTTAATTTGCTCCTACATTCTTACTAGTTAGGAAGACAAACTCTGGCTGTCCAGCGTGGGAACAGAAAAGGAGAGGGGTGCAGAAAGCTTCTATTGCATACAAGGTCCACAGAAGAGCAGATGTTTCCCCACTCTAAGTAGGGAAACTCCTTAGAACCTAAAGAAAACTCTGACTAGATTTTATTAGCAGCCTGAAATTTTCTACTTAATCCAATTAGTCAGTTAAATTTTCTTTACTAATTTTTTTAAAGCATAATAAAAGAGAGAACCTTGAAGATTATCATAAAAGAGAAGCCTGATGAAGAATGCATAGCATTCAAAAGCTTGGCTAACTTTATCCCAGCCATGCAGTTGATCCAATGAAAGATATCACCGACAAAAATCCTTGCCTTTTACTTATAATAAGATAAAAAAAGCTGTTAGGTGGAAAAGAACATAAGCAAGTCTTCCAGTCTGCTACATTTCTTGCAAATTTCACAAGTTACAGTAGTCATTTGAATTTAAACTGGTGTCAGAGTTACACTAGTATAAAGCTTATATCTGAGAAGAATCAGATCCATAACATCTTATGCGTGCCTTAATGCCTCCAGCTATGTGGTTTCAATTAAATTTGAATGATCAGTGTGAACATAAGTTATAAACCTAAATCTTACAATAAAAATCTAATCTACACAAACTAAACAGAGATGCATTTAAGTAGCTTACCGAGACTCAAATAAGCTGTCAGATAATAGTAGAGAAGTCTCTCTCTAATGTATGTAATGCAAACTTTTTTTCATAAAGGAGATCAGAAATACTAGCAGAAAACTCAAGGGAACTTGAAATCTTTACTGAGAAATATTAAATCTACAACACCCCCCCTCCCCCCCAACCCCCACCCCCAAAAACCCAAATCTAACTGGAAACAATTAACATACGAGAGAGAACAAGAAACCACCTCATTTTCTATTAATTTAAATGTGAAAACAAAAGCTAAGCGTATAACTGTAGTTAGCCCACAATAGATGCACTCTCCTAAGGTTCACATCTGAATCTGAACTTCCTTAAAATGTGGAGGGGATTAGAGCTGGTGGACTAATTCAGGTTTAAAACAAGCAAACAAACAAACAAACCAACCAACCAAATCTGTGAAGCTTGAAGGCAACTATAAACATAAGTTTCACTAAATTTTGGATCTTTATTTCTGGTTCAGACTTTGCCGATATGCACATTTAGGAGATAAAAGCAATTTTACTAAGATAAGGCTCAGCTTCACTTAGTCATTCTAAATCATATGTTACAGGGTAACATCTTTATTCTGTATAGCAAAACTTTTCTGTTTTGGTCTAACCCCTTGCTGAGATATTCTACATTACTGTGGTCTGTCTCAGTCTAGAGAACAGAAAACTGTCCAACTATCCTAATCGTAATGGAAAAAGAAAAACAAGATGGATGGGTGAGATTTTCTTTGGCTGGATAAGACTATTTTAGTTAAATGTTTAGAAGAACAGTTTATAAACAAAGCTCAGATTACAGCTCAAAAGGATATGGTAGTTTGTAAATTTCAGTGCGCTTCATCTTATATGTCAAAGAACTTGATACGTTAGTGATTTCATGCATCTTAAGATAATACGATATCAGAGGACTTTGACCACCGAGTTTGAAGAGAACACGACGAAAATGTGGACCTGGTCCAAAATAACAGGACTGTAAGGAACGGAGAGAAAATGTAGATTAGATAAATTAATAATAAGTGTATTATTAGAGAACTAATTTGCTATATTATCATCATCATATTTATTTGCAGTTAAGACAGGAATTTCTGCATACGCATGTTACTAAATATCCCATGAGAGAGGGAAAAGTATGGACCATAAAAAATGTTAATATGTTCCATACTGATAAAACTAGCCATTGTTCCTATAGGATACTAGGGGAAATTGTCGTAGTGAAATGTGGGAATGCACCCGTGTTTCTTCTCAGTATTACAAAAGATTGTATACCTCTTTAAGGGGAGCAAGATCAAGCCCTTTTTTCCTATTTATATGACCAGCTAACAGTTAATTCCAGCCAACTCAAACATGTTATACTTGATAAATTTAAAATAAATATGCATGTTATTTGCAAATATGCATGTTACATACGCATACATTTTGTAGTGAAAGTGCTCAGTGCATGTACCCATCACCATTAATGCTTATTATGGTACATAAGAATCATGCTCAAGTCAATTCTAATAGAGGCAAGACATTTAAACTTACAAAGGCCACTAGATGGATATGTATGAGAGAGAGAGAGAGAGAGAAAGGAATAACAATGATTGGAGCATGATGGCAAAAAGGAAGGAATAACCTGGATACATGGCTTCAAATTGATGATTTAAAGGAAAAATTATGCTAGTCTTTTCTTCCAAATTACATATAATACTCCTAAAACTAAATATATATTTCTTCATATGTTCAGTTCATTCCCTGCATTTGACAGACTGTGTCGATAACTGTGGTTTCCACTGTACAATCAATTAAGCCCTGCTCCTACAGGCACTGAAGTGAATAAATTTATACACTACCATTAAAGTACTTCCACAGGATGGCTAACATACATAAATGTTTGCATAACCAGAATCAGGGTTCTTGTTAATTAATTTCTGCTGTTTGTTGTGGGAAAGCTCCACACAGCAGAGAAGAGAAACATTAAACACAGGAAAACATACAAGCACAAAAAAGTGGTAGTGGGGCTAAGAATGGTACAAGAAACCGCTTTCATCCTTTAATTAGGTTTCAAGCTGAGTATATCATGTTAACACTGCAGGGATAAATTAAAAGTAGGGATATTTCACCTTGTGTGAACAAGTTAGTGACATGGTGATCAACTTGTAGTTCCATAATTAAAATTGGATAAGAAAAATCCAGTTTACTTGAAATGATTTGTGTGTGTGTGAGTGTACCCACACACATCCATACACCAACACACATTTTAAGAATTTTTTCAGTTTTGACAGTGAAGTTATGTTGGTTGGTTGTTTTAAAAATCACTTTTACTTTTAGGCTGCTTATGTGAGTGCTTCAGAAACTGCAAATAAATGTTTATTTGCTTAAAACCATCTGCTTTTACTGATTTTTTTTTTTAATTGTGGGAAATTTATTTAATTTTGTGCCAAATTTAAGTTGACAATGTCCTTTAATTCTGTATTCCAAATATAAAGCTATTAAAACAAATTACAAACCTGGCATAGTACCGAGCAGGAAAACAGTTATTTTCCAAGACATGACATGGTTTGATGCTGGGGACTGAACTATTACTTGCTATATTTGTAAGATGTTCAGTACTTTCCATTCACTCTCTTCTTCCACTAAAATCCTCTATCAATAACAACAGTATTTTTAGATTTTAATTTTTTTAATTTTTGTTTTAAAAAAAATCAATACAATAAAGCAAAAATAATTCCATAGCTTGCAGTGGTGAAAAGTCAGATTCTTGCAGCAGGATTGGAGAATACTGAGAAGGGGGAGTCATTTCAGGAAAAAATATATGTCTAAATACAGGGAGGAAAAAAATCTATTTTAATCAAATGGCTGGAATTAATCTTATCATACTGCTCTATTAAAGGATCTAGTAGAGATTGGAAAAGTTGCACATACATACTGCCACATAAATGACAGCAGAATAGAGTTTTCTGACCAAACAGGAAAACAGTTCTTTTCAGGAGTGCTTAGAGCTGACAAACATGTAGAATTAAAACGGCAACTAGGATTAGTGATTTACATTTGGGTGGCAAAAAAAAAAAAATTAAAATGTTTTCTAATGTATAAACTATTACTCTTTATGGAAGTCCTTTTACAGATGGTAGGAAACTATTGTCATTCTACTTATGGTTTTACGTGAAGTTGTCATTTAACAGAGAACGAACCTATTAGTTACAGAGAAAAATGTATCATTCCTTAGTAATTTGATGGCAGTGCTAGGGCTGGATTTTGATCTCTTAGACTAATATAAATCCAGAACATCTCTACTGATTTCACTGAAGTAGTTCTGGTTAAAATTAGAGCAACTTCAGAACATTTAATCTGGTCCTATGCCGACATTTAGTCAGGGTCTCCATAAATGAAACAACATGTCAGGACATGTGTCATAAGTGAACTGGTTTTTAAAAAGCACATTTTTTATTAGATGAACTGTAAAAAGTGCCTTCCACTATCCACCCTTGGAGGATGATAGAGCTAAATGCAACATCCGACATTCTGTTGACACATTCCACTTCTTTCATAGGTATCTGACTAGTGTATCAAGCTATCCACAACTGCCAGTGGGCAAGGATCTTTGGGCCCCCAGAGGCTGGAGGGGCATGGCGACCGCCTGCAGCAGCAGCAGGGGTGTGGCAGTGGCAAGCTCCCGAAGTCAGCCACAGCAGTGTCAGTGGTGGGGGTGGAGGCCGAGTGCTGACCGGTGGTCAGCGATCACCCGCAGATGCCACTGGCAGTGGCGATTGGCGACTGCCCGCAGATGCTGCCAGCAGTGTCGGCGGTGAGGGGAGGGGGTGGTGAGTGGTGACTGCCTGCAGGTGCTGCTGGCAGCGCTTCTCTCAGGGGGTGCACCACCAATCTCAGGGGTGCACACGCCCTCCCTATGTGTCGCCAATGACGATATTGATCAAAATCTTTGGAAATCAAAATGAAAACTTAAAGTTTACTGGTTTCTAGGGTGGTTTTACTAGGAGATGCAAATTCTGGCCAATAAGCTTCAATGTAGCTAAAAGTAAAACAGCTTCTCAGGACCATGAAGCCAGATTCCAGATGTGCCTCCTGGGAGAATCTATGGGTTTGACCTCAGATACAAGTGCAAGGCTCAGCTGTGAATGCAAGCTCCTTCTCAAGCCAATCCTCCTATTCCATTCCAGAGAAGTTCTCTAGTCAGGTCAAGCCTTGTGAGATCTAGTGAATCTTCTCCAAGGCAAGATTCCCACTTTCAGAATTAATCTAAGAGGTAATCTTTGACCTTCCCTCACCTGTCTAGATGTAATACTTTGTAGCTTCATGAGACTCAGAAATATCCCATCAGTGACATCAGTTCTACAGACTCCACCTCTTCAATTCCTATGGAGCATAAAGGATTGAGCCATTACAGCCAATGCTCTGGCATCATTTTTTGTCCTGGCACTAAAGGACAGGGGCTACCTCTGAGGTATGGTGCACTTCAGCAGCCTCTTTCCACTCCATCCTGTGCCCTGTTTCTAAAGTGCCACTTTGTTTCATTGACCTCAGCAAGTCCTCAATATTTTTGGTAGACCTGCTAACACTGATCTCAAGAACCATGAGATCAGCCTTGGGTACCTAGCAGCAAATAGTGGCAACCATGTTTAGTTTCTTGTCCAATAGGACCAGCAGTTGAGGTCTCCTCATCCAACTCCTCAACTGACAAAGATTGTTGTTCCAGATGCCCTTAGACATTTGCTCCCTTACACAACAACCACTGCACCCAACAACACTGAACTTCTAGATCATTACCTCATGTCTCTTGGTGCAGGTAAGAAGCTGCAAGGACCCCTCCTTATGTGGCAGATGACAGAACAAGGATCAATGGTCTCAAGTTGCAGCAAGGTGAAATTTAGGTTGGATATTAAGAAATCTCTCCCATTAGGATGGTGGTGAAGCACTAGAACACGTTACCTAGAGAGGTGGTGGAATCTCCATCCTTGGAGGTTTTTAAAGCCCAGCTCACCAAAGCCCTGGATGGAATGATTTAGTTGGGGATGGTCCGGCTTTGAGCAGGGGGTTGGACTAAATTACCTCCTGAGGTCCCTTCCAACCCTAATTTTCAATGAATATGTAGCTATTTAGCACATGGCCCCACATTTAAGAAACATTACCAAGTTCTACCACCCAAAACTTCAAACATCTGCCTCAGCATTGCAGACTCTCATGGCCCCAGAGAAGATCGGGGCATAAATCTTCATAATGCTTTTCTCCTCTCCTGAGGAAGCAGTCATCTCTCCTCCCCCTTTGGCACTACGGAGGCTTCCAGAATATTGTAAGGTGAGTGGCTCAAACTCTCCCAATTCTTAAAGAGGTTGATGAACCCTCACATAGGCTGGTGGACACTTTGCGTCAATCTGCATCTAGCAACATCACCCCTTTCATAGCTATCCAGGATTATTTGATGGAAGGCAGCCATTTCTGCCTCAACTGCAAAGACTGACAAAGTTTATCAGTCTCTTCCAGAGTTTGGACTTATATATATCATATGCCTTCTCCCACTCCATCCCAAAAATAAGGATCTTGTGAGACACGACTTGCTTGGTAGTATTTCCTTTGCCAGTCTACAGTTCCAGGTGGCCAACCATCAGGCACTCCTGGCATACTATGCTTTTAGGATTTATGAATACTAAGCATGCTTCACTTACAAATTGATTTGTTTTCTAAGAAACCCTTTATTGCACTCCTTGTGGAGAAACATATGACTACCAAAATCTTCCTATAAGTTGTCCTACACAGATCTTAGCCTACAAGAGGCCAAGAAGTGTACATATCAAGCAATAGCAACAGTGATTTTTTCATAAGAAAGTCTTCCTGGATTCAAATTCCATCTCTTCGGTTTCTAAGACATACTGGGCTCTGAACACTCTCTAGGATTTCAGTGTTATTCTCTGCTCTCTAGGGATATACATATGTGCTCCAGAGAAGAAACAGATAAAAGCTATACTCAGTCAGAGACACTTCAAAACCCAGCTTCTGTTCTGCATTTCATTTTACATCATCTAACAAATATTTCACTACTGCCACTATGAAATCACCAATGCTACTATAAGAGGAAGCATCCATTTCTAGTCAACAGGAAAAGCCGTTTGAGAGACGGTCGAGACAGACCACCCATTCCAAGTTTTAGTCATTATCCCAGCTGTTTGTATTATCCTGTACAGCACAACACCACTCCCAAACCTCCATGCCCACTCATTTTTACAGACCCTTCTCATGAGATTTTGCTTTAACATGAGATTTCCTTCCTCCCCTATTTGTGGGCATAGAGGATGTTCCTATAACACTGACAAGGAAGTTATCACAGAAGCCACTTCCTGGTCACAAACAAGAAAGGAGAAGAATGTCCCTGTTTGCTTCAGAAAGCTCAACACTTTTGTGTACAAGCTCAGGTTCAAGTTCAAAATGGCTACCTGGACCACCATAACTCCTTTCCTGGAACAGAGGAAACGGTTCATACCTCTTGACTTTGAGTTGCCTATTTTTACACAGCCATCACGCCCTTACACAGAAAATAATTTCAATTTATGGTAAGTTAGGACCACTACCATTACAGAGTCCTTCTTTTTGGTCTCTATGACCATGATGGGTTTTTCCAAAGTATTCCCAGTGGTAGCAGTCCACATACGAAAGAACAACATCATAGTTTTATTGAGACAGTTGTCTAGTCACGGGCAGTTCTGCTCATCAGGTGGCAGAATGTCATCAAGAATATGTTCCATGGATATGAAGGTTGCCAACATCAGCAAGGTTTCTTTTTCCCCTCTACCATCATTGACAATAATAGCAGATGCCTTTCTGCTAGGCTGGAGGAAACAAACAAAACTACCTTTAAGCGTAAGGTCTGTGTGTTGTGAGGCGGTAAAGATACATATTAGTGCCCTGAGCTCAGGGTAGTACTCAATGCACCACAGGGTGGGGCACTGCATCCAGGCTATGATGGATACCACTAACACCACAGTGTTTTGTAGCCACAAGCAGAAAAGGGGCGAGATAAAATTGTTCCCCTGTGAAGGGATACACTCAGGCTTCTCTCAAAGAATTCCAGTTAATGGTACATAACTTTTCTTTGTGTAGCAACTTCATCATTAGTCTAAAACAAACCTTTGTTATGGTTTCTGACTCTTTTGGCACAGCTACTGCATGTTTTCTGTCTTCCTTTATTTCTTCAGTTGATGAAGCAAACATGCTTTTTCTGCCTTCAATTAGATCTTCCCAACAAAATCCCAGTTGAAATCTCACTAAGATATAAATACAAATCTATTTTTAAAATATGCTTGTTCACATTTTCTTCTCACCATGAATTAATCACTTCAAATATGTCCCCCTCCTTCCCTGAAAACTTGCTTCCAGAAAGATCCACAACAACCTCCGCTCCAGCCCCTCCTGCATGTTGGCTTAGAAACAGCATTTAAAGGTCTGTTTTTAAAGGGGAATTGGCTTATAGGTATAGATATATACATTATAAGGGTTCAATATGGGCAGCAGGGGTTAAATGGATTTCTAAAGAGCTTGGGAGGCGCACACACAGCTTCTCATGGCCCTGAAAGCAGACAGGCTGTCTAGCACAAGGCCAACGGATGGACACAGCCTGAGAATTGAGGGGAGCATGCCATAACATGAGATCACAGCCTTCAAGGCAGCCAGGTTGTCTAACACAACAAAGCCTGGGAACTGAGGAAGTATATTCCATACTGTCCCATAATATGAGATAAGTGACACCAGCTACAAAACCCCAGAGCAGCAAGGGGTTGAGTCCCGGTTTTGGAGGAACAGACCAAATTATGAGAAGGCCCAGAAGACTATGTGGACTTGTGACTACAGAGAGACAGCCAACCAGAGACCGCCACGGATGAAGTCATCAGAAGTCATCAAGGGGGAAGAATACAAAAGCAGAGATTTAAGATTAACAAAGGGTCCCTCCCTGAGGCCACCATGGACCAAAGGCATACCAGCAGCCCGTCTCATCACTCCACTGGAGCAGGGCTGTGGACCTCGGCATCCTGCCTCCAGACTGCTGACACCTAAGAGAAAGAGTCTCAGAGTGGAGCCTGCATCCTAACCAGACGCATTTTGACTCTGATGACAGCCCTGGGATTGGTAGATATAGAATCACTTGATTGTTGCTTTGTTGATTACAAATCGATTTGTATTGTTGTTTTTCTGTTATTACTCTGTATCAATAAACTCGCCTATTATCAACTGGCAGGTGTTGTGGTCAGTTTGAGGGCTGTGTTCGCCTAGAACAAAGGTATAGGGGCTGGATCCAAATCCAGTACCAACACCGCACTCCACAACAACTTAAGATCTTTAGAGAAAAAGAAATGCAGTGAGAGAGAGGAGGACACCACTAAAATTATATCCAGGAATTAGCTTGGTAAAACAGGCCCAAAGGATCCATAGAAAGTGGACTTTACCCCATGCTGACAAAAAGGCAAAAAGTTCCAACAGTTTTTGGCAACCTAGCTTGGGGGGGGAAAATTCTTTCTTGACCCCCAAATCTGGTGATCTCCTTGACCTGGAGTGTATGAGCAAGACCCACTAGCCAAGCACCCACAAGGTTTCTCAGTACTGTAAGGAGCACTAGCACAACTAAAATTTGATGTGCCACAGGAAGGCAGGAAAACTAGAAACTAAAGTACTGCATTGCTAGACCTAATAAATAACAAGGAAAAAATCATAAACCATGGGAACAATACAATCTAATACAGTGCAACTTGTAAGAATACTCAAAATTCAAGGGACAGGAGAATGAATGCACATGGTAAGAAAACCCAATCTGGAAAAGGCTATTACAACTAATCAACCTGGTCTTTCTTATTTACACCAACACAACTCTCGAATTCTCTATAATCCAAACTCTGTGCATCCTCAATACAGACTCACATCAAGAACTTCAAGGTATTGCCAAGTCTGACACCTTAATGCATACCTGTTCTAATAGCCAACCTCTCTCTAGCACCAAGAAGGTGGGAGCGTCTACACAAGATGTTTACTGCAGAGTAGACTAATTAGGTCCACAGTAAATGTCTCATGTCTGTATGTGTGGCCCTATTAGGCTACAGGAAACAAGTTAACTCCAAAGCAGCATAGTACTTGTATTTACAAGTACTACTCTGCTGCAGAGTTTTTTTGTGTCCAGCAGTGCATATGTAGATGCTGACCCGGCTGGCTGGGGCATGAGGGTGCTTCACTGTGGGGGCTGACAGTTGGCTAGCTCTGCCCTAGAGCACCCTCATACCCCAGCCAGCCCCTCCACAGTGGACTGAGCCAGATAAGAGTGTAGCAAAACCTCCGGTTTTTGTTTTTTTAATTTAAAAATACATTCCCTCCCCTTCCCCTAACCATTTCAGACTTTTTCTCTCCCTCTGTATTCCCTATAGATAAGTATAAGTGAGTTAAGACATAGGATAAGCTTTAGCATTTTATTTTGGTAGCAAGTTGTTTTTGTTTTATTCATTTTTTCTCCTTTTCAAATAAGTGCCCTGTTATGGATATCCACTGTTGTATTTTGTATAATTATGTTTATATTAATTTTTACTGTTCTATATTACTGTTTTACTGATACCGTATGATTTAGGCCTACATATGTAAGTTAGCATAAGTCATGTCAAGTTTCCATTTTGTTTGTCAAGTCTCCATCTTGTGTCCCCTGCTCAGGCATACCCTATTGTTACTCTGTTGTAACTGTGTGACTCATACCTACCCCTCCTATGTAACTTGGTTCCTGAATGAATGGGGATGAATGAGGGTGCTTGAGAGACAATGACAGGAGTTCTAAAAACAGCTCCCTCTGAATGACTGAACCATCAACTCGACGACCCAACCATCACCCTGCCTTGACCCTCCCTGGCTCAAGATTTGGAAGACAAAGACTGCTGCAGAAATCAGTCAACCCACCATCACAGACACCTGGAACTACATGTCCTTACCTAGGAGTGCACATGCTCAGTACACCAGGGGCTGACTCTTGCCTGGGCATGCCCCTACCACTAGGGTCATAGGTAGTCTGCCCCATAAAAAGGGGTAGTGAAAACAGACCCAGGGGGATGCCCTCTCCATCTGGACCAGCACCACGCCACACCACCTATCCACCCAGAGGCCCTGCCGGTGGCCCCACTCTGGACAACACCTGCTAGACAAAGACCCCTTTCTAGCCTGGATAGGTAGCTATCACCCCCACCGTCTCTTCAACCAAGGACTTGGACTCTGTTCTCTTCCCTACCTGGACTCCAACCCTTCCACTGAGTCTCTTTCTCCTACTGCCATTGTGAGCGTGTGCGTGCGTGCGTGTGTGTGTGTGTGTGTGTGTGTGTATGAACCAATAACTTCATGGGGCTGTGTAGTGTGTTGTCTGTTTACTGTTATTTTGAAACCCCAAGTTGGGTTTTTGTCTGTTTCCTGACTGTTTTCTCCTTGCCACCACTTATCTGCCCCCTGATCTCCCAGCTGTCTGCCTCAGTTTCCAGCCCCAAGCTCCCACCTGTCTGCCTCTCTCTCTTTCCTGGCTGTCTCCTCCTTGCCACCAGCCTTTTCCCCTTGCACCAGTGACCTCGAGTAAACCTGGGGCCACTTGACCTTAAATAACCCCAAGCCTCATTTCCTCAGTCAATTTCTCTCTAGTCTACTGGTTCTAATCCTGGTTCTAGCAACTTTCACTCCTCCTTTCACTCCTTACACTTTCTCTCTCACCTTAACCTTCCCCCAGGCATCCCAAGTACCCCAAGCACACACATACACCCCACATCACCTGTGTGTATTTGTAGGTGGGTGGTATATGTGTGAACTGGTGAATACACACACACACACACACATACATACACGTCATTGTGTGTGTGATATATGAATTAGTGATCCATGTATATGTATTGGGTATGTGGGTATTGACAATTGATTTTTTTGTCTAACTTTTGGTGTGTATAGTGTGTAAGTCCTTGAATTGGTGATAGGTGTGCATGTGCCTAGACTGGTAATTTTGAATGTGTATGTGCCTGAGTTCGTAGTGTGTATGTGTGTGTGTGTGTGTGTGCACGCGCACGCCCTGGTGGGGCCTAATGTGTGTACACGCCTAATTGATTTTTGAGTGTGTGCGTGTGCAATTGTACACCACGCCCTCCTGTCTAACAGTGTGATGTTGAGATCCTGAGCGCTGGCCTGACCTCACAGGACACCAAGAGCAGCCCCAGGCTGGCAGGCTGATCCCCTGGCCCCACTGGCAGGTGGGGCTGCTCTGACCTGGCTCAACGTGCGTGGTCCTGGGCACATGTTCAAATGGCATGCCCAGGAGCAAAAGCTCCGGCACAATACACACTGAAGTTTATTGCTGCATGGTAATAGCATGTGTAGACACACCCAGCACATTTCATACCGAGACCACTTTTTCTAGACTCAATGTTTGCCTCTAAAACCTACCCTAACTTTCAAGAAGCCCTGTGCCACAGACATCTTCCACACATGGAAACAAACCATAGAGTGAGCAAGTTTCCCTTCAGCTCCTTCATGGGGATACCAGACATCCAACTTCATGATCTCCTTCAGAGAGACTGTTGGTTCAGTGTTTGGTTGGTATTACAGTTATATCATGCAATGCATTGCTTTTGATTTTTTACTCTTGAAGGAGACAAATCAGGGCCTGGATTTAAGGTTCTTAAGTCAAAACTTAATTAAAACTACCTATAGACAAAAGATGGTGCAGAGAAATTTCACTGCAGATGAAATAACACTCAGGGTAAGATTGTGTTACTAAAAATACAAGGGGGGTTGTGGGGAGAGGGATTTAATGGTGGAGGTCTACTACAGACCCCCCAACCAAGGGGAGGAGCTGGACTGGGAATTTTCAGGCCAGCTTGCAGAGGCACTTAAGGCAAGGGATGTAGTTGTCATGGGTGATCTAAATTACCCGAACATCTGCTGGGAGGAGCAGTCAGCCAGGTCGGACCGTTCCAGGAGGTTCCTGACTGAGATACAGGACCTCCACTTAACCCAGGAGGTGCACAGTCCCACCAGAGGAAATGCCCTGTTGAACCTGGTCCTGCCCACAGGTGATGATCTGGTAAGGGGGCTCCAGGTCCTTGACCACCTGGGTGATAGCGATCATCGCTTGCTGGAATTCATCATCCAGCGCAGGGTGACAAGGGCCTGCAGGAAGGCGGTAGCCCTAGACTTCAAGAGGGCCAACTTCAAAGAGTTGCGGAGATTGGTGGGAGAGGCACTGGGATTCTTGAGGGCAGGGGAACTCAGT